ACCAAGACTTTCCTGGCAAGTTGTTTTTTCACTGGCAAATGCCAGTAATTACTGGTACTTTGGCAACCCTGTCTGTAACGGTTTCCACAATATTATTGCATGTTTTGCCATTGCAAGGGGAACCAAATGTGCTACACTTTGGCCCACCTTTCTCCATCTTCAATTAAACAATATAGAAAAATAATATGACAGATTAGGCAATTGACCTGTATCGCATGAATAGGAAAAACTCAAAGGATTTTTTAGCGACTAACCGTTTGTAACCGTGTTATAAACGATAACTGAAAATACATGATATTTCCAGTTACCGTAAAAAATCCTGTTAATATAAATACAAGTTAGGAAGTAGTAAAACACGACATGCGTGCGCTAATTTTATTTTTTGGCTGAAGTAACTGCGATAAACTTCTTATAGATTCTCAAGTTTTAATGGTCGTTCTGAACAAAAATATGTTTCTTCTAAAAAAATGATTCTTAGAACGAAAAAACTGAGAAAAAATAGCAAAGAGTATATTTTTCAAAAGTAGCCCTTCATTTGATACGTCACTGATGCGTACCACGTGGCACTATATGAGCCCCCAATACGGAAATTTTGACAGCTTCAAAAATGCTCTCTTGACACTTTTCGTTAAAATGGATATTTTTCGAGAAAATCTCCAAAATATTAAAAGGGTAGGGGTTAGGGGGCGAAAAAAAGTGATTGCGGAAGGAGGATTGACCAGGACTTTTAGTATGTTGCAATTTATCTCTACCAAAAATCAGCTTTATATTATTTTTGTCTAGGTCAAATGCTATTTTGACTCGAGTATTATGCGAGTTCCGCAGCTATCTATTCATCAATATGGTGAATGTCTTACTTGAACAGTTCAATAGTATATTGGTGATTAGATGAGTCATATATATATACATATATATACATATTGATGAAAAAATGCCTGCGGCCACTCATTAGTTCCGCAACAATCCACTTATTTGTATTTGAACAATAATTTATTATATAAAGTCAGAATTTGTAAAATTATCCACTTTTTGTCAATTGGCCTTTTAATAGGAATTAGTAGGTATTGTTACTTTACCAAACTAGAAATATATTGTGATAAATTATTCAAGTACAAACGAGTGGATTGTTGCGGAACTTATGGGTGGACCTCTGCGGGACGAGCGCAGCGAGTTCCGCAGCCATCTATTCATCAATATGTTGTTAAATTATGATACTAACATGACTCACTCAAATGTCAGTTATTCTCATTATTTTAAAAAGTACATATTTCAGGTGAATGTCTATTCATCAATATTTCGTTTCACGTGAATGTCCTGCTTGAACAGTTCAACAGTATATTGGTGAGTAGATGGCTGCGGAACTCGCTGTGCTTGTCTTACAGAAGTCCACCCATAAATTCTGCGACAATCCACTTATTTGTACTTTAACAATAACTTATTATATAAAATCAGAATTTGTATAATTATCCACTTTTTGTCAATTGGCCTTTTAATAGGAATTAGTAGGTAATGTTACTTTACCAAACTAGTAATATATTGTGATAAATTATTCAAGTACAAACGAGTGGATTGTTGCGGAACTTATGGGTGGACCTCTGCGGGACGAGCGCAGCGAGTTCCGCAGCCATCTATTTATCAATATTTCGTTTCACGTGAATGTCCTACTTGAACAGTTCAACAGTATATTGGTGAGTAGATGGCTGCGGAACTCGCTGTGCTTGTCTTACAGAGGTCCACCCATAAATTCTGCGACAATCCACTTATTTGTACTTCAACAATAACTTATTATATAAAATCAGAATTTGTATAATTATCCACTTTTTGTCAATTGGCCTTTTAATAGGAATTAGTAGGTAATGTTACTTTACCAAACTAGTAATATATTGTGATAAATTATTCAAGTACAAACGAGTGGATTGTTGCGGAACTTATGGGTGGACCTCTGCGGGACGAGCGCAGCGAGTTCCGCAGCCATCTATTTATCAATATTTCGTTTCACGTGAATGTCCTACTTGAACAGTTCAACAGTATATTGGTGAGTAGATGGCTGCGGCACTCGCTGCGCTCGTCTCGCAGAGGTCCACCCATAAGTTCCGCAACAATCCACTTATTTGTACTTCAACAATAACTTATTATATTAAATCAGAATTTGTAAGATTATCCACTTTTTGTCAAGTTGCCTTTCAACAGGAATTAGTAATGTTACTTTACCAAACTAGTAATATATTGTGACAAGTTATTCAAGTACAAACGAGTGGATTGTTGCGAAACTTATGGGTGGACCCAGCCATCTATTCACCAATATGTTGTTCAAGTACAATACTAACCTGATTCACTCAGTTGAGAATTTTTCTCAATAGTTCAAAAACTACACGTTTCAGGTGAGTGTCTTATTTGAACAGTTCAACAGTATATTGGTGAGTAGATGGCTGCGGAACTCGCTGCGCTCATCCCGCAGAGGTCCACCCATAAGTTCCGCAATAATCCACTTATTTGTACAGGGTGTTTTCTTATACACCCCACCTACAGCCTTCACCTTCACAGGTAGAAGAAAGGTGTAAACACAAAAGTTGTATAGATTTGGCTGAATTTTTAGAAACCATGGTCAAAAGCAAAATGAATGTCAGAAATATGAAATTTTGTATGCTTCCAGCTTTTTTAAAATGGGATGCCCTATATTTCATTCTAGATTCTTGAAGAGCATAATGTCCCGATTTATATTTGATTGAGCAATTTCTCATATATTTGGCTCCAAAAATTGTAAAAATACTATCTACTGGATTTCTGATTTTGTGAACCATTCTACCTGTACAGATGAAAGCTGCAGGTAAAATTTGAGGTACTTGGTTTCTCTGATAGTATTTTTAAAATTTTTAGAACCAAATATGTTGGAGACGGCTCAACCAAACATAGACAAACTATATAGTTTTGGAATCGGGAAATTGTGTTTTTCAAGAATATAGAACCAAATATAGCGCATCCCATTTGAAAAAAGCTGAAAGTATGCAATATTTCACATTTCTGACATTCAATTTTTGTTTTTGACCATGGATTTTAAAAATTTAGCCAATACTGTACAACTTTTGTATTTTCATCTACCTATACCTAAAGGTAAAGGCTGTACATAATCTTATTGATTTTGTATGAATATTTATTTATTAGAACAAAAAACAAAACATCAACTAATGATATACTATTTGAGGTTAATGTTCTTGGGACAAAGACAAAAGTGTGATTTTTTTATAGGTTTCCAGCTTTCTAAACATTCTTAAAACTTAAAATATGGTTTTGTTTCCTTTTTTTTTAAATTTTATAATTTTATTTTAAAAACACTGTATCCCCCACTGTTTCAAAAGGCTTTTATTGGTTTTAGTTCAAAATTGTTAATAATTCACTTCATTCAACAAGATAATTTTAATCCGGTACAGGTAGGTACCTCAGTTGTTGAAATCTTGCTTTCAGCTTTATGATTTCCAGGTAAGTTGTTAACAATAATTATCAAAGTTTTGACTATTTTGGACCCTTCACACACATAATTCTTGGAACAAGGAATTTTGAATAATTTCTAAAAGTTGATTTTGAAAAATTTTTCAGGTTGTTTTTGATCAATTTATTTTGAGGAAATCTGTACAACGAATTAAGAACCACTCATAATTAAAATTTGGACCTTAGATACATAAAGGTGAATAGATTCTTGTGTTTTTTTTTCTTTTGGAGCCTTTCCTGAGAGATAAACAGGTATGGTCATAAATTTATGAAAAACTAGGAGGAAACTGCCAACAGTAGGGCACAAATCCAAGAAACAACAATAAATTTCAATAGGTCAGCACAGTGCAATGTACCAGTTTTCGTGTCACAAGAGCTGACTAGTCGTATTACTGGCGTCTGGAGCGTAATAAAACTTAAAAAGGGAGTTGAGAAAATACTTATAAAACGCTTGATTATAGAAGTTTATTAACCATGAAATTGGAAATTCGTTTTATGTTGATAATAATTTTTAATTAATTTTCGAGCCTCCCAAGAAAAACCTTTTTATATTTGAATTTCATAAGCTAATTACAATTCCAAACGCGTTCAATCACAATTTCCAGGTATTAGGTAGTTTTGTTTGTACCTACCTATAAGGGTACTTGGAAATTCTTTTAACGTTAACGTTGAACTCATTTTGTATACTTATAACAATAATTGTATTTTCATTGTTTTGAAATAAGTTCAAAAGATTTTTGGGACAATTTATAATGCACGCTTCATGTCTGACTTGATTATAGATTCGATTTAATGAGCCCTTAATGCAAAGGGCTGGAATTTGAGGGGTGAATAAATTCTAAATTTTGCTTTTCTCGTGAAAGATTGGAAGGGCAAATTGCTGGCAAAAATTTCATAATTTGGATTGGAGGCAGCAAAAGTAACAGTTTAGATTTTACTCAAATTCTCAAAGTTTTCTGTTCTAAATTTTTGCCGGCTCTTGAATTGTTTATTTCTAAATATTTCTACATAAAGAAAATTAAAAAGCTTGGAATAGAAACAATGTATAGTTACTTAAGTTTCCATTTTCCCTTAATGTCTGCCTTTCAATTCTCAAATTTTTGTCTATTCTCGGCTCTTCAAGAGCCTCTTAATACATATAAGAGTCGGTTTATTCACCTTCTAATAAACTGTCAGGTAATGAAATCTGACGGATAAAAACGCGATATGTGGGTAATCCTATTGGTCAACCAACAGGATTATAGATCTGTAAATTATTTATCTTGGAGACATAGTTACCAGTAAGTTTATCTCAAGATGAATGAACCGGGCTTAAGATGATAATTGTTTTGCACTAAGTAGTTTTGGCCACACGAATAATGATCATTCTCAAAAGGTTTTTCATCACATTTTCGAAACAATCTGAAATTGGTGTCTTGTGCATTTCAGCAAGTAAATATGGAAGGATTTATTTATCTCAATATTATATTATACCTGATTGATGAATCATCGCTAAAGTAAGAAAAAAGGGACCAGGGTAATGTAAACATGCTATTGAATCTTTGTTTTCTTATCTACATATTTTTATAATTCGTCATTCGGCAGTAGACTATTGTGGAGGAATAAGTTATTAAAAAGAAATAATTATCCAAACTATAATCCTAACTGCCCTTCAAATCAGAATTTTGGTAAGTTACTTCTAAGTTGAGCATGTTTGGTATTAGACTTTAAGCATTTGTGTCCCTTGGGTAAGCCGTACGCCATAATAGGTTAGAATCTCATAAGTGTAGCAGTGGGGCACTACCGAATACCGGCAAGAAAGGGTTGAATTATGATTTGCTGTTGGGTGTCAGTTGTAAAACGTGGTTTCAAGTGAATTCAGCCTAATGGGGCTTGTACTGTAGTATAGCCAATATTAGGATAATCCCTTTACCTTTGAATTATTATTCGTTTACTGTTTACTTTGGATGAAAAAATAAATAAAATTCGTTATCCGCGGAGGGAAGAGCATTACCATAAGTTGCGAAAAATGTTAATCTTGAAATCCTCAACATTCTTCTTGCACAATAATTATTATTCTAAAATAAACCAACTAAGATTATTACATATATATACTTCAATTATTCCTCCATAGAAACAAGTATAGGTATACTTTTGGAATAAACAACATAATATTTATACAATTGATAAGAACAATGATAATTATAAAGGTGAGTGACTAGTGTATGATGTTTTCAGTTCAAATTTTTGTGTCAAGTGAAAAATGCCCTCATACAAATTAACTTATTTTAACTTGGCCGGTGCAGGCGAATGTATTCGATACCTTTTCGCTTACGCAAAACAGCCCTACGAGGACAATCGTATCGCCTTCCAAGACTGGCAAGCCTTGAAACCGAGTAAGTAATTTATCCATCATTACTTTTAGGTCCAATTTATACATTAAACAGACTTAATTTGAATAATTTTTGACAATTTGGTACGATTATTTTTTTGTTCCAGACACTCCGTATGGTCAATTGCCAATTTTGGAAGTCGATGGCAAAGTGGTACCGCAAAGTACCGCCATCGGTAGGTACCTTGCCAAGCAATTCGGGCTTTTAGGCAAAAACGACTGGGAAGCTCTCGAAGCTGACGTTCTAATCGATACCATGGCCGATTTGAAAAAACGTAAGAAATGTTTCCCATTTTACATCCAATTATTTTTTGAAATATAAACTTGTTTATTATATTTTTCCTTTGAACTTTCGTCAAAGCATAATTTTCTTTTCAAGATGTGACTCCAATTTTTTACGCTCAATCCGAAGAGAAAAAGCTGGAACTGAAAAAAGAACTGTTGGAAAAGCATTTGCCTTTCTACTTGGAAAAATTCGAAAAAATCGCCGCCTCCAATCCGGCAGGATTTTTGGTCGGGTCGGAAGTGACGTGGGGCGATTTATTTTTAGGGGAAAATCTTACGGCTTTAGAAGAAAGATTTCCGGGATCTCTGAAACCGTTTCCGGCTCTAAACGCTTTCGTCAATAAAATCAACGGGTTGCCGGAAATTAAGGCTTGGTTGGAAAAGAGACCTATCGGACAACCTATACCATCAAAAGTCTGATTCTTAAATAAATTGAATTTATATGTAAATTAAAGTCTTTAATGATTTGCAACTCTTTATTACACAATAACCTGGTAAAAAACATCTTATGGGTCAGAATGTCTTTCTCTGTACTGTCTGAAAATAGACTTTATTGAAATCAAAGTCTCATCAGCTGTAGGAATGATCTGATTGGCGGGCAACAAGAATCCATTAGTTCCAGTATCACGTAGCTCGTAAGTATAGGCGATTGGAGTTCCAAATTTGTGTTTCACCCAATCCATACTGCCACCGGTAGCAACATCTGGAAAAATACCATTGAAATTTTGTTGAAGTTAATCCTACGACCTAGATAACTTACAGATGGTTTCAGCAATGTTTCCAACAACATAACGAGTACCGTATTTGGCTTCCAACTCTCTAACAGCTTGGACACCAATGTCATACTAAAACACTAAATGTTACACCACCAAAATATAACAAAACAAAACTTCCTCACCATTTCTTTGTAGTTGCTTAAATGAGAAGTTGTATGTCCGTAAGGCAACAACAACATTTGAGAATAAGAGTGAAAACTTATGTAAGCGATAAGATCATCGCCGATGGAATCGATAAACTGAGACAAACTATCGGTACAAGCTTCAGAAAGAGCATTTGGTCCGGCGTAGGTATCAGAACAAGGTTGATTGGAGGCACCGCCTTGCATCCATTGGTAAGGCCAATTACGGTTGGGATCAGCTCCAAAGCAAAGAGTCGAGTACCTGGTACGAGTTTTCCTCCACATACGGTTCTAAAATATTTCAATAAACTATGTACTTTATTTGGATTAGGTACCTAAGTACTTACACTGTTGTGAGAATGTACAAAACCATCAGGATTGGTTACAGGGAAAATGTACCAATCGTACAATTCAACCAGTTGACGAACTTCCCAGTCTTGACTTACAAGAAGCTCATTTAATATGTATGTAGCAGTAGCAGATGTAACCCTATTTTAAATAATATTTTTCAATAAATTAATACACAATCATCAATTATTATTTACCATTCTCTTGCATGAATGTTTGCCTCAATAAAAACAGCTTTTTTAGGTTCATTAGATGGAATATGAATCTTAACACCTAAAATGTCACGTCCTTGACTAGTAGTACCTCCAACCAAAAGTTGCACTTTATCGTCATAATTAAAAGCCAAATCCTTCAACCAATCATTGATTTCATCCAAAGTATGGTAGTTGGTCCAACCAAAACCGCCAGCTCTAGATTCTGGTCTGAAACCTTCATTGTCAATAGCCTCTTGGATGTTTTCGTTGAGTAGCGTACTTTCAATGTCGGGGTGTTCGGTAACCCTTTTGAATTCTTCGGCTTGTTTGGGTGGTACCAAAATGTCTACAGGGACGTTCACGCTGCCAACTTCACTGAAAAAAGTGTAGCCCGAAGCGAACGCTTGTTCTTCCATGGTTTTGAGGGCCTCAAACATTTTAGCGGTTCTCGGTACTATGCGGTACAACGTGTGGTTGTCGTACCGGAGTTTTTCGGCCTGGCTTAAAGCCACTGCCGCCATTAAGGCAATCAGGATTTTCATTGCTAAGAAAATCTTGATTTATATGTTCGTTTAAACACTACGAAATGAATACTTACCGATTTGACTTTGGTACTTTTATATAAGGATCAGATGAGGTGCTCGAGTTTTACGTCAGAGATTTTTTAAGTGTAAGAAAAATCATTTGTCAATTACTTATTATGTATCTCTTTAGAATTATCGCTAATCTGATTTGATATTAGTATATTAATAAATGTTACCTATATTCTTATCACTCTTTTCCCCAATTGAGTTTTTAAGTTGTTTGAGTGATTTAATCTTTTCAAGGCTTTTTGTACATTATGTAGAAGCATCTTCCAAGGTGATATTGTGCATAATTGGTCACCCTGTATATGGAATTTAAAGATGTTATCACATAATTATCTATTCAAGGTAATGATTCTTTAATCCTTGTTGTCTAGTCTGTGATTTTATTGAATTGACTCACTTCAAATTATGTTTTTTTTTTTTGTAGATTCATTGGATGATGCAATACAATGTTTTATCTAGATATTTTCAACTCTAATTATGCACTAATGAATTGTTGATGATGTAAGTATCTAATTCCGAATTCTGTTCTAAATGATACGGTTCCAATTTGGAGTCGTTTTCAGATCTTCAGTTTCATGTTGAATCTTGAATTTGAGGAATTCTTTTGATTTCAGAATCACTAGAAATTAAAAATGTATTCTTCTTTAGCTTTTAAAGCATATCCAGCTTTGGAATGTAGCCGGCGCGTTTTTCAAACCAAAGGGCATGCGCAAGGATTTATAATGCCCGTTTTATGTGCTGAATGCGGTTTTTTCGATGTTGTTCTCATGCATCTGGATCTGGTGGAAGCCGCTAGCTAAATCTAAGGTGGTGAAATACTGGCAACGTACCAGAATTTTTCAAAAGATCAGTTATGTTGGGTAATGGGTATCTATCATCTAAGCTTTTTGTATTAGGGCCCCTAAAATCGCAAACTACTCTTAGTTTTTGGCTTCCAGAGGCGTCGGCTTTTTTCGGGACTACCCAAATCGGTGAATTCCAGGGTGAATTACTTGGTCTGATTATGTTTTGATCTAGCATCTTTTTTACTTGTTTTTCTACTTCTTGTACTTTCCACCTCCGCATGTAATGTACTACTTGAGCCGGAATCTATGAAAAATTTTAAATTATTTTCTGGAAAAACTATATATGCAAGCAAGTTCGTTGGAATTTGACATATTAAAGGAAATAGTTGGTGGTGTTAGGTTTTGTCTGTTTGAGACAGGGTTTCTTGAAAATTTTCCGGGATAATACCACAAGTGCTTCAAAATTACCGATAATTTTTCACGATTGCATGTTTTCTATAATTTCACGAGTCCGTAGGACGAGTGAAATTTGCAAAGAAAACACGCATGAGTGAAAAATTGCTGTGTCGATCAGAAAATAGATGGAGACTCTGTCTTCATCTTACTTGTATCAAACCCAGTTCCGGGACGGAACCAAAAATGGGTTGTGTTTTCTCCCTGCGGAACCTAACCGTGCTGATGAGCTGTGTTACAGCGAAACGCGTCCACGGATGGTCCGGCAGAGAGAAAACACTTCTCAATCGGTCCTTAATTGGGCCGTTACCTAATTAAAAATTTATTGTTTTATAATCGTTATTAATTAATTATTTAACAGTTTTTAATTGAATTTAATGCTTTTTGAGTTGTCATGTAGCAATGTCGCTTTTAATCGGTCATTTTGTACATTTTCATCCAGTTTTTCTTCGAATTTTCTACTTTTCCCAATGTTTTTTCAGTCGAGGAAACTGGTTTAAGCACGACGCTTTGAGCTTTCCTCATTTCTGCTAGAAATATCCAGTTTTAAATCCATTAATTTACTGTCAAAGGGTGAGTGACAAAAATGTATTAAAAAAACAAGCTTTTGAGAGCTTATTTATTGTTTTTAAATCCTTATTAATTGATTATTTAACGGGTTTTTATTTTAATTACATGCAAAATCCCATTTAAAAAGCTTTTTTTTTGGAAGTTTTGATGTGGCCAACTTCAATCAAGTAGGCCTTGTAATAAAATGTCATTTGCCAGTTTCGACAATCGACAGTCGGTCATTTTTAATTGACGTGTTTACATTTCTATCCAGTTTTTCCTCGATTTTCCAGGGCGTTTTTAGTCGGGAAAACCAATTTGGAATACAAGGCTTTAAATTTCCTACATTTTGTGCCAAAAATTTCCAGTTTTCCAATGGGGTAAGTGACGAAAACTTCAGTTTTATCAAGTAAGCTTTGGAATCTTGGTTTTTCTTTCGATTTTTCGCTTTTCCAGAGTTTTTTTGATAGCAAAAAAAACTGTACTGAATTTCTTTCCATTTTTTTTTATGAAAAACTTTCATTTTTAGACTCAAATTGTATCTTCATCTTTGTCTTACCCACTATCAAGCAGACCTTGGAATGATAAAATTTTCTTGAAAGTAAGTTTCCAATGCATTATTTTAGGAATTTATCGTTTTATAAATATTGATAATCAATTATTCAACTAAATTTAAAACAAAAAACCATTTAAAATGTAATTTTTTCCTATTTGAGATGTGGCAACGTCACTTTCAATCAAGTAGGCCTTTGAATGGAGTGTCATTTGCCAGTTTTAACAACCGGCCATTTTTGAGTGTTTTAATCTAGGTTTTTCCCAGAATTTTCCACTTTTCCACAAGGTTTTGTGTTGTCTAGTGAAGGGTAACTTGATGAAGCATCTGGAATCTGAGGTGATAAAATAACATGGGAAAATTATCGCTTTAATTCTATCTAGTTAAACTAATGGGCAAGAGAATTTTCGCTGTAATTTTGAAAATTGGTCACTTGTCTTAGGGGATTTCTAACACATGAGTGGAATAATCGTTATTATCGGATTCTTCATTATTGTATTGTTGGGTAAATTTATGTTCAGGTGCTGATCCAGAATGGACATTCTGGTCGAAGCTTGATTCAAAATATTGGGTACTTACTTGTATTTGGGAGATACTCGTACGCTTGAACTTGGTAATATAAGCTTGTTCATATTGGGGTTGGTTTTGGGATTCAACATTTTAAAGTTCTTCATAAACAAATTTACGACTAATGGTTTGAATTATGATGTTTCTATACCAGAGGTGTAGGTGGTTGTAATTGTTTCTGCTGATTTGTTGGCTTGAAAGCATTATAATTTGGTTTTGAGTCAGATTTTCCAAAAACTTGAGAATGAGTGAAATATCTTTGTGGTGGTCTATTGAAATTGGGTCTGACGTACACAGGCTGTGATGGAAAACTAGGCTCGAAAGCATATTGAGAAGTTTGTTGATCGAAAGACTTTTAGTAAATGAACATAATAGATTTATTAAAATATGTAAAACATTGTCATGAAATTGGCTTGGTAGTTCATTTGGTAATTGATTCATCATAACCAAATCAGTGTGCTGACATTTTGAATATCAATGATAAGTTTTGCTTGGCCCTTGGCTTGAAAGTTTGCTGATCAGTGAATTCAGCAAGTAGATATTCTGAAAATCGTTGGAATTTTCAGCATTATAAAAGGTATCTATCAATGTCTGACAAGTAGAAATATGTCGATTCAAATCGTTTGGGTTTCTGTCAAAAGTCGGGACACATATCGCTATCAGGGTCAGTGTCTTTATAGTCCAAATCACAAGTTTAGGAGAACCGAAAGATTTCTAAATTTCTGCAGTTGAATTCCAGCTGCATGGCTTATTAAACTCTGCCTTAATTCAAAAATAGCTGGAAATTAAAGTATCATACTTCTCCAATTGGATTTTGGTTCTAGGAGAGAATTTGAATCTCAAGCCTTTACCCTTCAACATCATTAAAATTGTTATATAGAACTCATCACATCACATTACCTTTGAACTTACAATGCCTTTCCTTATGAGGATCCTTTTCAACAAATTAAATATTCTAGGATATCCAAAAAAGCTCACTAAAAACGAATCTTAAAGAAATAGAGCTGAAATTTTCAGCAATTCTTATTTCAGTAGAGGACTACAATCCCTGAAAATTTCAACTCATTTGGACTAACCTTATGATTTAGATTTTGGAAAACTTATAGTTCCTGAGATAAAATCGTGTTAAGCAATTTGGGGTGATTTATCAATTTTCCAATTTTTCTGAGTGCCTTTTTTCATAGATTTGGGCTTCAAATCTGAGAGTAATTTAGTATATGGAGTTTGAGGTATGTTGATTGACCATTAGGATGCAAAATCTCGACAAAAAAAAATTTGAAATTTTATCGTTTTAGTAAGAAGGTACCTACCTTATGATTTAGATTTTGGAAAATTTCGAAAGGTCATAACTTTTTTTCTATTATAGATAGAAAGCTGAAACTTTCACTGAATTTTATCCCAATGAAGGGACTATAATCCCTGAAAATTTCAGCTCATTTGCACTTATAGTTCCTGAGATAAAATCGTGTTAAGCAATTTGGGGTGATTTATCAATTTTCCAATTTTTCTGAGTGCCTTTTTTCATAGATTTGGGCTTCAAATCTGAGAGTAATTTAGTATATGGAGGTTGAGGTATGTTGATTGACCATTAGGATGCAAAATCTCGACAAAAAAAAATTTGAAATTTTATCGTTTTAGTAAGAAGGTACCTACCTTATGATTTAGATTTTGGAAAACTTCGAAAGGTCATAACTTTTTTTCTATTATAGATAGAAAGCTGAAACTTTCACTGAATTTTATCCCAATGAAGGGACTATAATCCCTGAAAATTTCAGCTCATTTGCACTTATAGTTCCTGAGATAAAATCGTGTTAAGCAATTTGGGGTGATTTATCAATTTTCCAATTTTTCTGAGTGCCTTTTTTCATAGATTTGGGCTTCAAATCTGAGAGTAATTTAGTATATGGAGTTTGAGGTATGTTGATTGACCATTAGGATGCAAAATCTCGACAAAAAAAAATTTGAAATTTTATCGTTTTAGTAAGAAGGTACCTACCTTATGATTTAGATTTTGGAAAACTTCGAAAGGTCATAACTTTTTTTCTATTATAGATAGAAAGCTGAAACTTTCACTGAATTTTATCCCAATGAAGGGACTATAATCCCTGAAAATTTCAGCTCATTTGCACTTATAGTTCCTGAGATAAAATCGTGTTAAGCAATTTGGGGTGATTTATCAATTTTCCAATTTTTCTGAGTGCCTTTTTTCATAGATTTGGGCTTCAAATCTGAGAGTAATTTAGTATATGGAGTTTGAGGTATGTTGATTGACCATTAGGATGCAAAATCTCGACAAAAAAAAATTTGAAATTTTATCGTTTTAGTAAGAAGGTACCTACCTTATGATTTAGATTTTGGAAAACTTCGAAAGGTCATAACTTTTTTTCTATTATAGATAGAAAGCTGAAACTTTCACTGAATTTTATCCCAATGAAGGGACTATAATCCCTGAAAATTTCAGCTCATTTGCACTTATAGTTCCTGAGATAAAAT